TTTCTTGCTTTGTAATTGGCCACCCCACAATTATCGGAAAGAAAGAAATATTCGCACATAACCTCAAACAAAAATTAAATTTAAATCTACAGGCAATGACGAACATATTAAAATTCTATGGCGAACATGTCCTCCATTGCCATCAAAGCTCTACAAGGACGTATTGGGAGAAATATTGGCCCCTAGACGTAAAAAGCTTTAAAAATTGAAAAAAATATAAGTTTTTTTAATTCAAAATTCGAAATGATATTTTTTAATGGTAAATATTATAGATACCGATTTTATTTGTTCTAAGACCCATAGTGAAATTCGATAAGGAACATGTCCTCCATTGACACCAAGCCTCTACGTGGCCGTTTTGTGGGAAATTTTGGCCCCTAGACAAAAGCCCTTATAAAAAAAGGTAATAAGTGCAAATATATTTCTATACTCAAATTCGAATCGATATTTTTAATGGTAAATATTAGAGATACCGATTTTATTTTTTCTGAGACCTACAGTGAAATTTAATAAAGAACAGGTCCTCCATTGACACCAGCCTCTTCGTGGAAGTTTTGTAGGAAATGTTGGCCCCTAGACAAAAACCCTTATAAATTGGCGTAATTAGTACAAATATATTTCTATACTCGAATTCAAATCGATATCTTTTAATAGTAAATATTATAGATACCGATTTTATTTGTTATGAGACCTATAGTGAAATTCGATAAAGAATATGTCCTCCATTGACACCAAGCCTCTACGTGAAAGTTTTGTGGGAAATTTTGGCCCCTAGACAAAAGCCCTTAAAAATAGAGGTAATAAGTACAAATATATTTCTATACTCAAATTCGAATCGATATTTTTTAATGGTAAATATTATAGATACCGATTTTATTTGTTCTAAGACCCATAGTGAAATTCAATAAATAACAGGTCCTCCATTGACACCAAGCTTGTACACAGCCGTAAATACTGATTTTATTTGTTCTGAGACCCATAAGAATAGGTCCTCCATTGACACGAAGCCTCTACGTGGAAGTTTTGTAGGAAATTTTGCCCCCAAGGCAAAAACCCTTACAAATTGGGGTAATTAGTACAAATATATTTCTATACTCGAATTCGAATCGATATCTTTTAATGGTAAATATTATAGATACCGATTTTATTTGTTCTGAGACCCATAGTGAAATTCGATAAAGAACATGTCCTCCATTGACATCAAAGCTCTACATAAAGGTATTGGGGGAAATATTGGTACAAACTTTTTTCATATATATATGAAACAAAGAAAAGTCACACATAACCTCACACAGTAATTAAATTTAAATCTTTAGGCAATCAATTGTCATACTGGCTTAAAAAAGATTTTTTGGGTTAAATTTTGTTTTGTGAAAATTTACATATTTTCCAAATCAATTTCTCCATATTTTATCAAATTAAGTGGCAAATTCAATATTGATTTGAATTGAATTTTTTTATATATAACACCAAAAACATTTAAAAGTTTATCGGGTGCCATAAAATCTAACACCCATATGGCCCATAAACTTCATAAATAAATAAAATTTACTTGAAAAAAGGTCTTTGGGTATTACAGAGAGGGGGAAGATAGAAAGGACGACAATATCTGGCAAAAGCATGTAAAGGCTTATGCAAATTTAAGGCAATAACAGTGTTTGGAAACAACAAAATTTGGTAGATGACCTTTTTTTTGGAAAAAAGTTATCGATAATAAATTTTCGAAAGAAATGGTATCGATAAATAAATTTGTCACTTCAACACAAGTTTTCAAATACAACCTTCATTACAAAAATCGAAATTTTCTTTAACAAAATATGTATTTTTAGCTGACTAATTCCCAACACTGTTTGCCAACAATAGACGGCATGCTTCATCTTGTCTGATATCCTCTCAATATGTTGATATTATTATTTTGCGCACATAACAATGCCTGCGAGACGTATTTTTATTGCCTTTTACACTTGGAAGTGTTTTTGTTGTTTTTTTATTATCTTATTGTTGTTGTTGTTGTTTTTTCTTGTTCATAGTCCTTTGTTGTTAAGATGCTTGGGAAAGGCGCCTCTTCTTTTCCCCCTTTTTGGAGATGGAGGTGGTTGGTTTCTATCTTCAGGACATTTGTCTGAGTAGAAATTGTTTCAATTGCTGTTGTTGTGTCTGCATATTAAAACATTATTAACATTATGATACAATGTACGAAAACACACACACATACTCACACACATGTAGCCTCATCCATGTGATGATATCTATATGGAATAATCATCATCTTCCTCAACAGAATTTAACGCTTCCGGCTATTGCAAAGTACTCGTACACACACACATACACATTTCCGAAATTATTTCCAAAAAAGGGGTATCCTTTGGCATTCCTAGAATAATCACAGAATGAGCTCGTTTCATATAATTTAAATTTGAAATCAATTAGAAAAGTTGTGTTCCGAAGTTTTCTCTAGGGCTGCATTTGGAATTCAATTTCGAAGATCACCGCTAAGGGATAAAGAAAAATAAATGAAGAAGAATGTAATTTAATAAGGATAATGTAATCTCTTCACCGACCACTAGGTCTTTGCAAAGCCCTTTGGTCTCTTTTTCGACAACTAGGTCCTTTTAAATATTATAAATATTATAGATCCCGATTTTATTTGTTCTGAGACCCATAATGAAATTCGATAAAGAACATGTCCTCCATAGACACCAAGCCTCTACGAGGAAGTTTTGTGGGAAATTTTGGCCCCTTGATAAAAACCTTTAACATAAAGAGAATAAGTACATATATATTCCTATACTCAAATTCGAACCGATACTTTTAATGGTAAATATTACCAATACCGATTTTATTTGTTCTAAGACACATAGTGAAATTCGATAAAGAACATGTCCTCCATTGACACCAAGGCTCTACGAGGAAGTTTTCTGGGAAATATTGGGCCCTAAAAAAACCTTGCAAATTGAGGGTATAAGTTGAAATATATTTCTATACACAAATTCGAACCGATATTTTTAAATGGTAAATATTATAGATACCGATTTTATTTGTTCTGACACCGATAGTGAGATTCTGTGGAGAACATGTCCTCCATTGACACCAACAGCCTACGATGAAATTTTCTATGAAATTTTCGCACTAGACAAAAAAAACCTTTAAAATTTAAACTATTTTACATATCCAATTTCGAACCGATATTTTTTAATGATAAATATTAAAGATACCGATTTTATTTGTTCCAAGACCCATAGTGAAATTCGATTAGTAACATGTCCTCCATTGACACCAAGCCTCTACATGGAAGTTTTGTGGGATATTTTGGCCCCTAGACAAAAACTCTTATAAAAAGAAGTAATTAGTACAAATAGATTTCTATACTCAAATTCGAACCGATATTTTTTAATAGCAAATATTATAGATACCCATTTTATTTGTTCTGAGACCCATAGTGAAATTTGATGAAGAAGATGTCCTCCATTGACATCAAAGCTCTACAAGGAGGTCTTGGGGTAAAAAATACAAAAAAGCATTAAAATTCAAACGTTTTCATATCTATCCAAATTCGAAACAATATTTCCTAACGATAAATATTATAGATTCCGATTTTATTTGTTCTGAGACCCATAGTGAAATTTGATGAATAACATGTTCTCCATTGGCACCAAGACTCTATGTGGAAGTTTTGTGGGAAATATTGGGCCTTTAACAAAAACCTTTCAAATTGAGGGAATAATACAAATCTATTTCTATACTCAAATTCGAACCAAAATTTTTTAATGGTAAATATTATAGATATCGATTTTATTTGTTCTTACACCCACAGTGAAATTCTACGGGGAACATGTCCTCTATTGACATCGAAGCTCTACAAGGAGGTATTGGGGGAAATATTGGCGCCTAGACGAAAACACCTTTAAAATTAAAAAAAAATATACATCCAAATTAGAACCGATATTTTTTAGTGGCAAATATTATACATACCGGTTTTATTTGTTCTGAGACCCATAGTCAAATTCGATAAAGAACATGTTCTCCATTGACATCAAAGCTCTATAAGGAGGTATTGGGAGAAATATTGGCCCCTAGACGAAAAAGGTTTAAAATTAAAAATTGTTCATATATTCAAATTCGAAACTATATTTTTTAAGGGTAAATATTATAGATTATTATAGGTAAATATTATAGATTCCGATTTGTATTGTTCTGAGACCCATAGTGAAATTCGCCAAAGAACAGCTACTCCATTGACACCAAGCCTCTACGTGGAAGTTTTTGTCACCTAGACAAAGCCCTTATAAAATAGAGGATATTAAAACTTGTGATCTCTATACAGACGAATTGGTCTGTCTACAGCCCAATTGATCTTTATAAAGATCGGAGACCTTTAAAGCAAATAAAATTATCAATAAAATATTCTTGAAAGATCTTCTTAAGAGATCAATAAAATATCTACCCTCCTCCCGCCTGTTGCTCATCAAATTAAGGGCCTCCAATTGATTGTGATGATGATGATTCTATTGGCGACTGCTGCTGCTGCTGACTTCTATACAGTTCTTATCTGTTGCAAATATTTTGAAATTCAACAGAATACGAAACGAAACGAAAAAAAATTGAAAATGTAAACAAAACACAAGATTCATGAATATGCTGCTCGGCCCACAGAGAGATCATAACAATAATAATAACACAGCAATAGCAACAAAACCAAATGACCGCGCGCACATTGATAAGGAATCACACATTGTTTTTGCAAAGACAGACAGAAAGACCGACAGCCATCCAGCCAGCTAGCCAGTCACATTTATAATCTCGACTTAAGCGCGTTTTATGACAGGAATACCTCGAGAAATTTCAAAATTAATTTTTAGTTGAATTATAATTGCCGATTAACGAAGAAACAAGTGGCGGAAGCAGAAATTTTTGTTATTTTTGGTTAAATTTTTGGAAGAAAAGCCCCGAAAGAAAAATAAACCTGTACTTGAAACCATTGTTTAAAGGATCATAAAAAAACAATGTATCTACTTATTCTAATGCTACTTTTTGTAAATTCCAATATTTTAATATTTGGCCTTCCGCCAAGGTCAACATATGGTCGTGGTAAGTACAGGGTTTCTTTGGTTGACTGGCTGGCTGAATTGGCGTCAAGCTGTATAGTTTGTATAATTTGCGTTTTAAATTTTAAGCGTACCCCGCCAGCGCCGCCCCTTCTACTTCTTCGTCTTCTTTTGCTGTTATCATTGCCTCAAATGTTCTTCTTTTTCCGCCCCTCTTAGATCGCTTCAATTCGAATTCACGATGTGTTGATACGGAAACGGGTCGTGAACTTTATGTTGGTGATTCATTTACCCGATCTGGCCGTTGTATAAGTGTACAATGTTTGGATACACTGGAACTATGGGAAGATAGGTAAGTGATCAGTGAATGTGGTTTGATTTAATTGTTTCCGGACTTACCTGACATGATTTCGAGGAGACATTCGAATAGATTTCATAATGATGTTTGGAACAGGATTTAGCATTATCCAGAATTTTGGAAGACATTCCGATAGATTTCATTCTGATGTTTCGAAAGAGCTTTACAAAACTCCCCAGGTCCCAGTTACAGAATTTTAAAATCTGATTTTAGTCCTTAAGAGAGATGTAATATCCCACGGAGACGACACCTTCAAATAGAGTCTTGATAAGTTCAACATTTTTCAATTTTAGACGTTGTCAATAGGCCTGCTGAAAGATACCTCAGAGATACAGAATTTTAAGACCCGGCTCAATTACATTCTTTTGCTATCATTCGGCTTTATGGTTGATCTTTTGGTCCCCCAGAATTTTCAAAGACTTATTTATTGCTGTTTCTTTTGGGATAGAAGACGTCTTTCAGAAGGGCTCCAGCGGGTCCAAAATAACATGTTTCGCGTGGCTGGAACAACCCCTAATAACTTTTTAAAACATACAATGTATTATGTGGCAGATGGAACTTATTGTTTCCTTTTGGATAGAAGACATATTCCAAGTGTTCCGCAATGACCTTTAAAATAAGAAAGAATTTTGTAGGCAATTTTTTTTATCTCTAGACCTTCTTTTTACTTACTTTTAGATGGGATGCCTCATGGAGGCATAATTATAACATCTTAGGATGGATTTGTTATAGATAAATATTCCATTTCTTGTGATTATCATTGATCTGCAAAAGGCGCCGAATGTCAGGGTTCTGTAGATCGAAAACGATTTTTTTAAGAAAAGGTTCTTTAATGCCGATCATTTATAGAGTCCTCAGGGATTTTGTGCACTGAATTTCCCTCTGGGTGTCCGCACAAAAAAGCACTTCGAATGAGTATAGAAATATATTTGAACTTATACCCTCTATTTTTAAGGGTTTTTGTCTAGGGGCCAACATTTCCCACAAAACTTCCACGTAGAGGCTTGGTGTCAATGGAGGACATGTTCTTTGTCAAATTTCACTATGGGTCACAGAACAAATAAAATCGGTATCTATATTATTTACCATTAAAAAATATCGGTTTGAATTTGAATATATTAAAAATTTTAGTTTTAAAGAATTTTTCGTCTAGGGGCCAATATTTCCCCCAATACCTCCTTATAGAGCTTTGATGTCAATGGAGATCATGTTCTTCATCGAATTTCACTATGGGTCTCAGAACAAATAAAATCGGTATATACAATATTTACCACAGTCTTTATAATAGACCAATTGGGTTGTATAGGGACCATAAGACTTTATAAAGACCAATTGCTCGGAATAGAGACCACAGATCTTTATAAAAAACCATTTGGTCTGTATTGAGACCACAGGTTTTTACAAAGATTTTTCTGATATTTTGGACAATTTTCTCAAATAAAGCATCTGAATTTGGCACTTCGGACCACGTTTTGTCATAGCCTTACCTTCGCAATTAATTTCGTATTTGTTTTTGTTTTTCCTCCCTTTCACAGATGTCAAGTACCCAAATTGGAGGGCAATTGTACCCGTGTACCGGTGGCAAATGAATTTCTCGATTATCCACGCTGTTGTCCGACCTATGAGTGTACCAAATATAGCATCGATGATAACAGTTATACCTATGAGACGAGAATCTATGATCGTTACGGTCGGCTACTCAAGGAACATATAACACAAAGTTTAAAAATAATGGTTGAGGCACCGCGACCGATGGTACAAAATTATCGACACATTGATGGTTGGAAACGAGACTATTCAAGGCCATCAAATGTCGCAATGAATACAAATCGTCGAGATAATCAATATCAAATAAATTATAATTAGTATAAGAGAAATATTTGTTGGTGGTGTGATATTTTTACCTGGGGCTTTAAAAAATATATGTTTAAGGGGGATTTTTTTTTAAGATCTGCCAAAAATATATAGTTCATTTTTGCATTTGAATTTGTAACTGCCAAAAGTTCGCAGAATTTGTTACGTTACTTAATTCAGTAATTAAATCGTTGATGAAAATCCGCCCTTATTGAAAAGCAAGAAACGATCTATAGATCCCTAATATACTACAGCAGCAACCGCTTTTGGCAGGAGGGTGAAAATCCGTCAGAGTTGCAATCCCATTAAAACAAGTTTTGGCATATCCACCGAACTGTAAATAGAAAATACCCAACATTATAACAATCCAGGATTAAAATTGTGGAACCAACACATAACCTAAATTTTTTGTCCACAAGTTATATTAACTACTAAAACAGTTCGGGACAAAAAGACGCGGATAATACAAATGACTGAACTTGAAAGGGGCAGATATATACCTGGATTTGCGGAAAGCTTCTTTCAAAGGCAGGTTATCAAATGTGTCCGGGACCTCAGGGCCATCGATAAAGTCTCACAAAGGCATCTATCATCGATAAAAGCCCCACAATGGCTTCTATCGTCGATAAAAGGCTTCCATAATCGATCGAGCCCCGAAAGAGCTATTGTCGATAAAATACCTACAAAAACTATAAAACCCTAAAGACGATAAAGCCCTATAAAGGCTTCTATCGTCTATAAAAGGTCTTTAAAGGCTTCTATCGTCGATAAAAGGTCTATAAAGGGCTACAAATGCATGCATCGCCGATAAAAGTCATATAAAGGCTTCTACGGTCGCTAAAAGCCACAGAAATTCTTCTACTGCATATATAGGCCCATAAGGTCTTCTATAATCGAAAAAAGGTCTTCAAAAACTTCTATCGTCAAATAAAGCCCTATAAAGGCTTATGTCATCTATAAAGGTCTTCTATAGTCTTTAAAGGCTTTTATGGTCGATGCAAGGGCTATAAATGCTTCCATTGCCGATAAAAGGCATATAAAGGCTTATATCGCCTATTAAACGAAGCCATAAAGGCTTCTATGGTCGCTAAAGGCCCACAAAGGCTTTTACTGTATATAAAGGCCCGTAAGTCTTCTATAATCGAAAAAATGCCTTCAAAAACTCATATCGCCGACAAAAAACCCAAAAGGCTTTTATCGTCTATGAAGGCCCTCAAAGGCTTCTATCGTACATAAAGCCCTGTAAGGTCTTCTATTGCCCATAAAAGGTCTTGAAAGGCTTCTATAGTCGATAAAAGGTATATAAAGGTTTATAAATGCTTCCATCGCCGATAAAAGGCATATAAAGGCTTATATCGCCTATAAAAGGCCCACAAGAACTTCTATGGTCGCTAAAAGCCCACAAAGGCTTCTATGGTCGCTAAAGGCCCACAAAGGCTTCTACTGTATATAAAGACCCATAAGTTCTTCAATTGTCTATAAAAGGTTATACAGGCTTCTATCGTCGATAAGAGGCTTATAATAGCTTCTAGATAATTTTTCTAAGCACAAATAAGGCCTTTAATCTTAGGATGTTTGTAGAATTTTCTAGAGAATACTATGGCTTCTAGAGTGGATTTTTTACAAAAAATTTCTAGAGAATAATAAGGTTCTAAGGCATGGATTTTATAAATAAATTTTCTAAAGAAGGATAAGGTCCTAAGGCATGGATTTTATAAATGAATTTTCTAGAGAAGAATTAGGTTCTAAGGCATGGATTTTTTTTAAATAAATGTTCTAGAGAATATTAAGGTCTCAAGGCATGGATTTTATAAATAAGATTTCTAGAGAATATTAAGGTATCAATGCATGGATTTTTTTAATAAACTTTCTAGAGAATATTAATTTTTCAAGGTATGGATTAAAAAAAAATCCTAGAGAATATTAAGGTTACGAGGCGTGGTTTTTAAAACCAAATTTCTAGAGAATATAAGGTATCAAGGCGTGGATTTTTTAAATAAATTTCCAAGTGAAGATTAAGTCTTGAGGCGTGGATTTTTAAAGACTTTTACTAACGCATGTTAAGGTCCTAAAGCGTGCATTTTTTAAAGGTTTTTACTAAAGCATTTTAAGGTCCCAAGGTGTGGTTTTTTTTATAGGCTTTTACTAAAGCATTTTAAGGTCCAAAGGCGTGGATTTTTTAAAGGCTTTTGTTAAAGCATTTTAAGGTCATAAGCCGTGGATTTTTTAAAGGTTTTTAATCAAGCATTTTAAGGTCTTAAGGCTTGGATTTTTTAAAGGTTTTTAATCAAGCATTTTAAGGTCCCAAGGCGTGGATTTTTTAAAGGCTTTTAATCAAACATTTTAAGGTCCCAAGGCGTGGATTTTTTAAAGGCTTTTACAAAAGCATTTTAAGGTCCCAAGGCGGGATTTTTTTAAAGGCTTTTAATCAAACATTTTAAGGTCCTAAGGCGTGGATTTTTTAAAGGCTTTTACTTAAGCATGTTAAGGGCCAAAAGTCTGGATTTTTTAAAGGCTTTTACTTAAGCATGTTAAGGGCCAAAAGCCTGTATTTTTTAAAGGCTTTTACTAAAGCCTGATAAGTTCCTAAGGCGTAGATTTTTTAAAGGCTTTTACTAAAGCATTTCAAGGTCCTAAGGTGTGTTTTTTATAGAAGATTAAGGCATCTTGACATGGATTTTTTTTAAAGGAAGATTAAGGCATCTAGGCATGGATTTTTTTAAAGGAAGATTAAGGCATCTAGGCATGGATTTTTTAAAGGAAGATTAAGGCATCTAGGCATGGATTTTCATGGAGAGGATTAGGGACATTAGGTGCAGATTTTTTAAGGAAGATTAGCAACAATAGTCGCCGATTTCTTTAAAGGAGATTAGGGAAATAGTTGTAGATTTTTTACAGAAGATTTAGGACTCTAGGCATTCATTTAAAAAAGTATAAAGAAGATTAGGAACATTAGGAGTAGATTTTTATAAAGAAGGTTATGGACATTAGGCCCAGATTTTTTAAAGAATTAAAAAAAAAATTAAGGCCATTAGGCGTAAATTTTGTAAAGATTCATTTTTAAAGAAAATTAGGTCATTAGCAGTAAATTTTTTAAGGATTTTTGTGAAGAACATTAGGCATAGTTCGTTCTTACATATAAAAATTAGGAGTAGATTTTTTTTTTTAAATAAATTTTTTAGAGAACATTTAGAGCATTTATGATTAGGTTTTCATTACGATACGTTGCTTAATTCAGTAATTAAATTATATAAGAAAATATATGCATTTTTATTAATATTATTTGTTCGATGTATGTCAGAAGGAGGTGGCCGGAAGACGAAATAATAAAAATAATGTTCCTCTTCCTTTTTTTGTTTAAAAAATTCATTAATTTGCCTTTTAATATTTAATTTTAATGGCTGACTATCCACATTGCAATGGTAGCCGGACATTTTGTTCTCTTTTAATTGTATTGTTTATTATTTAACGACATTTAAGAGAGCCAGAGAAAGGGGAGAGGGAGCCTATGAACTTATAAAACAATAATTATACCATTCCCTTTTACACACACTCACTAAAAGCATTAAATTTCTATTGAATTTTGTGAATTCATTTGTTTTTGGCATTCACCATGCACTGTTAGCCCCCCCATGGTTATCAGTTATTCATGTAAACACTACACAGCCGTTGTGTAACAACGGCCAAACCGTTCAAATTGTCAACGAGGAGAACAAGCTTTTTTTGTGTCATTTTCATAGTCAAGTCCATTGAAAGTTGTGTGTTTCCACGAAGTCCAAGAAGGAGCATTTTTTATTTGTTGGCCAAAAAGAATTCGCAGAGTCAACAACAACAAAAAGGAGGAATATCTAAAAAAGTAAAAAAAGTATGTGCAATAATTTATTTATAAATAATTAACAAAAAACAAAGTTATTTTCTTTATAAGAAAAAAAGTTATTAAGTCATCGGCAAAACGGCGTGGAGTTCATCGTGTGTTGCGGTGTGTTTAACTGTGTGTGTTTGTGTGAGTGTGCAAAAAATGCTTGCCGAAAAAAGCAGGCAAACGAAGACGACGGCGACTTTGTAGAATATTCCATGGAACAACAAAAAAGTGCTTGAGGTGTCTGTTTTTTCTCAGAGATTTTGGAAATTTCAAAATTTAATGAAATTCACAATTAATATTTATTGACATGATTGTACGTGGTGTTGTGGCAGCCATGGACGCCAATTTTTTTCTTTCTTGTTTCATTGTCATTACAATGCTGCATTGCTGCAAAACCACCAGTACGCCTCAGCCAACTTCGTTTTGGTGTCAGTGCCAGCTCTGCCAACGTTGACGTCAGCGCATACAAAGCTTGTCGTTTATTTCAAAAAAAGAAAGAAATGAGGAAAACATGTGTTTGTCCAATGCATGGGCTTTTTCGGCTTTATTTAATGCAAATTCCACCGAAGTTTAAAAACCAAACAAAAGATGCAAATTTCTTTATAAATAAAGATTTAAAAGAAGTTTTCAAAATTCTTATATTTGTTGTAAGTTTATTGAGAATTTGTTTGCCCCTTTTTTGATGATGGTTGTCATTCATTGAATTTTGAGGTTAGGTTTAGTTTTTGGCATTGTGCTGCACAACGAACCAACCGCCGACCCTCAATTGTCTTTTTGTTGGCTGGCTGGCTTGCCTTTTTTTCAACTTTGTTTGCCAGCCTGCTTGTATTTTTTTTTCAGGGGCGGCTCTGTTATTTGGTATAACTTAGAAATCCATTAAAAAAAGAAAATATTTGTTAATTAATATTTTTTTAAAAATATTTATAAATTTACTTAAGTAGTCGCACTTCCTCCATTACTATTGTCCATAGATATTTCAACGCTTTGCCTAACCCTCAGTTGTTTTTCGTCATTTCGTATCCGAATGAAAGCAAAAAAGTTGTAAGAAGTTTTTGGCGCCAGAATTGTTAGCTTGCTCTAGGTTTTTATGTTGTGTGCTGTTCTTCTTATTACTTTAACTTCATGGGCCGGCCGGTTGGTTGGTCGTTCG